CTATCAGAGTAAAACACACAGACAAGCGCAAAGTTTACACAGCTGCACAACCTGATCCACCGCTCACACCCAGCCCCAACAACGTTAGCAAAACTACAATAAGATAAGAGGCTATGGTCACAACATGAACACACGGCATCAGCGCCGCTCCTACAGCGTACGGCAGAACAACCGGAGTAGCTCTATCGCACTCAAATACTCTATTTAACTATAACACTATTTACCTGTGACAAGCCTACCTAACAAGCCTCTTACGTTCTCCAGAGGACTCAAGCAGAGTGTATCCTCTAACTGCTGTCCCACTGGTTCTGTCTCCAAAAGTGTATTGTCCAATATGAAAGGATGAAACTGGTCCAAATCCTAGTCCTGTGAGGTCCGTGACATGAGGTCTGGGAGCCCACTTCCCACTTAAATCTGAAAGTTACACCAGTCCATATTAGCACTAGGGCACCAGGTAAACTTAAGCCCTCTGTGTGCTACGCAGCGGCAGCGGCAGCGACTGCCCTGGGTCCTGGCGGCGGGTCTCTCCTCATGGAGGTCTCTCCTGCGTGGAGGTTTAAGCTAAAGTCGCTAGGGACAAGCTTAAATCTCCACCAATCCGCCATTAGCCAGTGTGCATATCAGAATAAGAGCCGTAGGATTTCACCACAGCCAGATGCACTCATTCCAGCTTAATGCTTCTTTTCTTGTTTGGCAGAAGAGTCCCACTGAAGAGAAGATATTTTACTCCCTAAGACTGTTCCTCTAACACACTTTGACTTGAAGTTGAACTCGCCATAACTGTACAGCATAGCCTAAATAACGACATATATATATATATATATATATATATATATATATATATATATATATATATATATATATATATATGTGTTTCTCACCTTCCACGGTGGTAGGTCTCTCTCACCCTCATTCAGCTCGGGTCCTCTACCAGAGGCCTGGGAGCTTGAGAGTTCTGCGCAGTATCTTTGCTGTTCCCAGTACTGCACTTTTCTGGACTGAGATGTCCATTGTTTTTCCCGGTATCTGTTGAAGCCACTCTTCCAGTTTGGGGGTTACAGCCCCGAGTGCTCCGATCACCACAGGCACCACTGATGCCTTCACTTTCCAGGCTCTCTCCAGCTCTTCCTTGAGCCCCTGGTATTTCTCTAGCTTCTCGTGTTCCTTTTTCCTGATATTACCATCGCTTGGTATTGCGATGTCAACCACCACGGCTCTGCTCTGTTTCTTATCCACCACCACTATGTCTGGTTGGTTCGCCATCACCATTCTGTCAGTCTGTATCTGGAAGTCCCACAGGGACTATATATATATATATATATATATATATATATATATATATATATATATATATATATATATATATATATATATATATATATATATATATATATATATAGTATCTTTCAATCTAGGTCAAGTTAAGGAGTGCGGTTCACTTGCGCCCTCTATTGACCAGCCACCACTGATCACATGGCGCTGTTTGTTTACATGTGGCGCAGCAGAGCTAACGCTTTAGCGGCGCTCCTCTGCTCCTCCTACGCATAGTGTGTAGGGCACTAGCTGGTTGTAGGGGCACCACGTGAATCCTTGCAAAACTATGGTTCTCGCACTCTGGTCCTCATTTTCGCTGGCACATTAATTGTTTCAACTCAGTTATATGAGTTTGGAGATTGTTTGACACACAAATCGAAATTGCTATCAAAATTCAATTAAATGCACAGCCTTAGCCGCCGTGTACTGTCATGTACTGTCATGTACTGTCATGTACTGTCATGTACTGTCAGGGACTTTTAAAAGAACCATCTCCTTGCTGGTCCAACTGTGCATAGTCTTAAAAGCAGGACAGAAGAACTCTGGACCTTTGACTGTTACGTCAAAAACTGGGAAATTAAAAATAGCATATTTTTATGGGGCTTTGAAGGACTGGTCTTACTAAAAAAAAAAGATTCATTAAACCAGGTTGAATAAAGTTGAATAAAGTGGTGAGAGGTGAGAAGATCAGGGAACAATGTTACAACATGGTTCGAAGCTGAAAATAATGGTGAGTGTTTATATGTGAGTGTAATATTTATAGATAAGCCGATTATTTTAGGTTGCTATTTGCATTAGCCACTGTTAGCTTACCTGTACACTTCTGTCTTAGTAGCTATTTCCTTACCTTGTTGGCTCTGCACTCTGGAATAAACTCAGTCAAAAAAATATGTTTATACTTTGTGTTCACAGGTCAGGGACCTTGCCCCCTTTTCTGAGGTGAAAACCATTTTCATATATTCCCTGATGTTGTTGTGTAAACACTGGTTGTCCTGTGAAAAATCTTGAACATAGCCTATATATTTGATTTATTACAACATACTGTGCCGATACAGAGTGCACATTAGTAAAATTGCATAATAGTTTCAGGAAGCCAGTCATTCAATAGTAAAATATAGAAGTATAGAAAAAAATGTGAAGGAGTAAGAAAAGCATTTACCCTAGAATAATACACAACAAACAAATTCATACAGGTTTGCTTAAACAGACACATAAACACAGAACAGTTATTGGCTCAATTCACAATAGATTTCACCAAACATTCTACTCAATATTTTACATGCATAAATTACATATTTTAAGAAAAATCTGAACTCATGGAGTCCATGCTTTGACATTGCTTGTGTGTGTGTTTTCAGTTAAACCCTAATGATGCTCAATGGTAAACATAAAGAACATATTATGCAATACTTTTTTAACTTTATGTTCTTCTCTCATTAAAACAAGATGTCTTGCTCTGGGCCTCAGAATATTTACTTGGGCCCAACCAATATATCGGCTGGCCGATATTATCGGCTGATATGCGCACTTGGAGACATATCGGGAATTGACCTAAATCTAGCCCATATGGGTTGATAGTCCACTTGGGCATTTTATACCTCATGATCAATCTTACACCACCTTTTTGACACTGGGGACCGGTTTTTCCAATGCAGAGTGGCCCGGGGCCCATTAAATATTAACACTGTATAACAGTGGTATTCAACTAAAATTTGAGGAGGTCAGGTTAGAGAAAATCTCCTCAAGCAGAGGTCAAGGACATCATAATGTCTAACTTGCGTTATGACTGTGATATAGAAGTAGTCTAGTTTTATTATTGCCTGAATGTGTGAACAATAGACTTTCAAATCAACGAAGATAAAAGTTTAAAACATTTCAACAAAATGCATTATTAACAGTGAAACTCACAGTAGAAAATTAATTAGAGAAAATAAATAAAATGGCTAAATTCTGCATCTTAAAACAAAGTTCTTAATTTCAGAAAAAAAAAAAAATAGCAGCTTGAGTTTCCCTTTTTTTAGCTTACACATAACAGTCTCAATATTTTTTTTCAACAGATATCTAATAACCTCTTTCCTCTGTCTGTATCTGTCTCTGCATTCAGAGTCACCTTGAAAGCACAGATTTGACTAAGTACTGTCATGATTGGTTTGTATATTCCTTGATCCATTAATACAGTAGTGTAAAGTTTAGAGTCTAAACTGAATTGGCTCTATTCAATTGATTTAACTTATAAAATGATCTGCATTTAGCCTAGTGTGAGAAATGCTACAGTTGGACTAGATCCCAACCCAGAGTCCTGAATCAGTGGGAGCATCTCTGGTTCGGGCCGGGCTCAGGTGAGCTGAAGCGAGGAGTAGTTCTTCCCTGGGAAGTACTAGGTGCCTGGAGGATGGACCAAACAACATATAACGAACCAAACTGGATTCACACTTCTGTCCGGGATGCTTTGCACCACCTCGAAACCAGCCGCAGTCCTCGAGCACGGAGGACAAGAGCAACCCACACAGACCTGTATTCCACAGCACAGAATTACTCAGAACCAGTCCATTGTGCACTGATCTTGCTCGTCCCCGTCTGAAACCAGCACATGGACGAAGGAGCCTCCAGATCTATCTGACCAAATCGCTCAGAGGATGGCACAAGACCAAGGACCGGACCCCCAGCCCCGCCCTGAGGGACTGTGCGCTACAGTGAGTCCATCAATATTTTCTGCAGTGGAATTTTTCTGTGTTTGTGACGCTGTGCTGCTCCTGAACGCACCTCCAGACTCAAGTGACTCATGCGCTTGTTTATACTCTTGCATAGCCATAGATCCATGTGTGCAACATTGAGGCGCTGCTTTAAATGCTCTTGTTTCTGATCCACGATACTGACTATAAATAAAAGTGAACTTCAGAGTGCAATGTGCTGGATTATATTATTTTGACAAACAATAGTTTTGAGTCAAGATTAAAAGGGCACTTATTTGTGAAGACTGGTATTCTGAGAAGAGCCTGTATGAACGCTGAGTGTTGCAAATGTGTCCGTTTTAGAGCTACTTTTGGTTCTTTCTCATTAGTTAGAGATTAGCTGCTGTAGCTACTAAAAGCCTGTTTTCTCTTCCATTGGCCTAGTGTAAAGTGATTATAGTGACTGTACATGTTACTGGACATACAATAATATGTAAATGAGCTGTGAATAGAGATGTGAATGATCAGCATTAATATAATTAATTACCGAGGCACACATGTATTTATTGCTAAAAATAGCGGTAGTTTGCTTAATTTCTTTACTGGCTAGAATGTCATGCAAAAATGCCATTAGGCAGACCTACTGTCTTCAAATATGACTGTAAAGAGGCAGAATAACAATAAATGTCACCTAAACAAACCCAATTTAAAATTCACTAGACCCAAACCTAAATTTTATAATCAGTTGAAGAGATACAGTGAATTTTTTCATCCTTAAATATATCAGCTTTTATATCGACTATCGGCACCTCCAACTCCCATTTTATCGGTATCATATCACAAAAAAAACCAATATTAATCAGGCCTAATAGGTGTCCTGTAAATCTCTCTGTTGAAAAATGTGTGAATGTGACCAATTCTCCAATTCTGTGTCGACTGCAGTTTTTGTGAGGAAAGAGTTTGTTAACATGATCTGGGATATAAATTTTGGACTCTCTTGCTGTAGCCTATCATTTACCACTGTTCAGATTTAACTGTACACAACAGATGCCTTCGTAGATACTTCCTAAACATTTTGTCTCTCACACCATAAATGATCGGATTTAGAGCTCGAGGAAGAATTTGTACAACAATATAACACGCAAACAGAGAATCTGTATAATTTCTGGGAAACCACACTTTCAATACTTCTGTCAAAGAATGGTCGGCGTAGGTGGCTACACACAGCAGAACTTGAAAACCATGCAATATAATTGTGTCTCTAGCTTTCCTGGCATCTTTGCTTGCAGTTTTTGCTGTGAATAGAATTTTGAAATATGTGTAAATAATGATCATCCAAACTAACACTATATATAGAGCATAGGTAACTTGTCTTTTTTCCAGCAGAACTGGATTTGGAAAAACAGTTTCACGGAGGCAAAACACTTTCGATTGGAAAAACTCAGCTGGCATAGTTGCCAGTGTTACGAACAAATCAGGAAGTACTGAAAGTACACTTGTTATCCAAATGAGCCCTATCAGAATATGAGTTCGTTTGACCGTGCAGATCTGAGTGTGTCTTAGGGGCATGCAGATGGCGATGTAACATTCAACAGCCATGCAGGCCACATTGAGAGGTGTGTTCTCTTTGGTGAAGAGGGCCATGAGGATGAAGACACAGCAGACAGATGTGTTGATGGTGTACAGGATGTAGCTGAGGAGGAAGAGGGTGACTGTGATGATGACTTGGATCATGTCATTGATCACTAGGTGGCAGAAAAGGATGTAGCGAGGGTTGGTGTAGAAAATCTGGAAAAGACCATGTGTTGTAATTAAGGAGACGGTGATACCACAATCTAAAACACATCATAATTCATTTGTGTTTACACACTGATTTAGTTTATTTCATGAAGGATTGGTGGATTGAATGCTTACTATGACTAAATAGCCTGGCTGGCCAAGGCACACATTTTAATCACATATCCACATGACACATGCTTTTTTTCATAGTTCTGGTAATTCACAAACTTAATTGTGTCATATGACTTAACTCTGTTTCCTGTTTGTATTAGTGTCCACAGACAATGACAATAAAATATATTATTTTGAATAAATGCATTATTGATGTATTTACTTTTTTTCTTTCAAGATTTGATTACCATATAATACCAAATGACCAGCACCAATATCACATAAAACATTTATTTAGCCAAGTTATTTTTTGACAAATAAACACAATATAACTGAAAACACAAGGCTGTGTTACTGTGCTACAGTACCTGGTGTTTCCTGTAGGTCTGGATGAGGCTGGCATTGATGTAGTTGATGAAGATACTCAGCACCACCACTATGATATTTTTCGTCACAGCTTTGACCAGAGAGTCCCTGTACTCTATCACATAGGTCACATTTCCAGACGCGTTCATCGCCCACAGATCACAGCTGATAAGAAGCACAGTTAATTCTAGGTTAGTTTTTATGATTTGCAATCATAGTATTTATCTTGATACACTGAAAATGTGTATGTTTCCTAATATGCACATTCACAGTAGATGTCAAGATTTATAGCATACTTTGTGTTAAAGCTTTGTTTTTAAATTGAGTTTCGTAATTAAACAGAATCAAATCTAAATACACATTTTTATACTTTAATAATCTTTGATTCCTCTTCAAAAAGCACAATTAAATTACTTTGGAAATAATTGCAAAACATGTTTTAATTGACTCGCACATGCAGGCAAGCTGTCAGAAGTTTGTGCCTCCTTTTGTGGCTTATGTGTTTGGATTACAGTCACAAATGCATCCTAGAACTTTACCCTCCATCGGAAAAGTCAGTGACAGGATCAAATTTTACAATGTTATTTATCACCCAAACAAGCATGAACTCAACACATAATACAATCACATATAGAAGATTATAAGAACTAAAAGCCATTACACAGAATATTCCAGAAATATTCCGATGGCCCCTTCAGCTCTATACTTACTCGCTCCTCTCTCTTGACCGTGTGTGGTTCTGGTGACAAACATAGATCCATGGTAAAGGGAGGAGACACTTATACATGTTGTACATGTAAGTCACATGACCACAGCCACTAATTAGGAATAAGGCTGTAAAGATTAAAACAAATACGTATTTGTAAATTCCTACTTCAAATTAGTAAAAAATGGTTAATAATATCCATGTTAGAAATTAGCTCTATATTCACACCTCAGTACTGTACATCTGACTTAATTCTCTTTGTAAACTAAGACTGTATGTTTTAGTTTCAGATCTAATAATAATACTACCATTTCTACCTAGTTACACACAACAACACAACATATTCAGTCCCCATTTGAGTAGCTGTCAGATCCACTGACCCACTGGTTGGTGGTGCCATTCCAGCTCCTATAGAAGAAGGCTGTTGTTCTGTCCTTGGGCAAGATACTTAACCCACTCTCAGTGTCTCCGTACACTGGTGTACGTTTGTGTGTGTGAATGGTTCTTTGATGCAAAGGGTTTTGACTGCGTTGAAGGTGGAAAAGTGTTATCTAAAAATATGAACACTTAACATTATTCTGATGCTAAAATGTCATAGTTCTGGATGTTTTGAGCTTTCAAATGGGACAGGGCTTGTAATTAGATACAAGTATGAAGGGAAAACCTGACTTAAATTTCTTCACTGCTTCTGCAGATGACAGTTTTCTTTTTTCCTTAACTTATGTTTTTTCTGTGAAATTCTTCTTGGACAAATTGCGATGGTTGATTGTGTCGGCCTGTTCTTCATTCTGTTTCTTCCATCCTTTATTGATTACTACCACAGAGCACATCTTTATAGTCCATGAATAATGGCCTGTACATGGGTGTATTCTTGGAAGTTCGGGGGGCCTTAGATTGATGTCTGCTATGTTCAGTCAGAACTGTGTTGAATGTCTCTGGTTGGACACCTGAGCATTTGAGGGTGATGACACTTGGACCAGCCTGGACGTGCCTATGACACATATGTTTGTCCAGTCTGAACGCCAAGTCAAGATAAGGTCTTATTACCTTACTGTGTTAGGATCACATTCTGTAATGGACATAGCTAACCTGCTAACCACTGCATTCAACATAGGAATTGTTCATGGCTACACTTCCGGCTCCATCGACTTTTCCAATTTCCAGTTTCCAACTGACCTTACATGAGAATTTGTCACCCCTCTCTCTGTAGCTGCTGCAGTGTCCCTTGTCATTTTGGTCTTAAAATGTTCATATTAACCCGCTCTTCATGATGCTGTTTTTTTTATTTCACCATTTTGTCCAGTAATAAATTCTTATCCCTAATGTGAAGCTTGGCTCCAGTTTCACTCCTATAACTGCTACCCTTGTTTCATTCCACTGAAGCTGAACACTACTGGTGACGTCACAGTTCCTTAGTCAACTTCTGAATTCTGTCTCTGGTTTGGATTAAGGCCTGACTCTGAGATTATGGTCATGCTTAGGGCCAGGGTGATGGAGTTGGATTTGGGACAGAAATAGTTTTGTCAGGATATAAAAGATGTTATAATACCTTGAAAAACATGCATTCTTACTGTGTGTGTAAAATCCTCAGTCGTTCAGGTAGAATCCATTGCAAAAGGAAAAATTCAATTTGTCAACTGGGCAAAAGTTGATTTGGTCGAATACGTTTCACAGCTCGTCCAAGATGCTTCTTTAGTTCTGGTCAAAATGCTGGAAGACACTGCCTTATATCTGTTTGAAGGGAGGAGCTAACTACACTGAAACTACTCTGAAACTAACACACCTACTTGTTTGAACTAGCAGTGAGTGTGGGGTCATATTAGCCTCATCCTTCAGGGCTATACTGGGTGCTTTCATACCTCTGGGCCTAACCTGGCTGTACTTATTGTTTTCTTTGTTTGGTTAGATTTCAGTTTGAGGATGGAGTTGAAAATAAGAGACAGATTGTGCCTGAGTCCTCTGTTTCTGTTTAAAGAAGTATTATCTTTCTTAATAAAAATGGCCTCTTATCTTTCTTCTCTAACCAGTTCCTTTCCCTGGCTAAGATCTGGACCTCACTATCCTCAAGGGAGTGGCTCAAGGCTTTTAGGTGGAGATGTACAGAAGACTGAGGTCCACTGTTGCTCTTGTCTGTGTTGCTCTTATGAAGGGGCTGTTTTGTTTCTTCAATGTAGCGCTCACTGCAGTCTTGACTACACTGAATGGAGTAGACCACATTGCTTTGTTTATGACTCTGTGTTTTGTCCTTTGCATGGACTAGTTTCTGTATTAAACATTCAATTTCATATTATGAAATCCCAGTCTATTTATGACAGGGTTCTATTCTGGGATAGTGATGATGACGTAGTCAGAAGGATGTTTTGATGATTTAATTATTGATAACGTTCCCAAAAATAATAATGTTTGAATAGTGCAATATACAAAACAGTGAAACAAAGAAAAGGTATTTACAATATGTACATACATAAATATGCTTCACAATGTATAGGTTGCTACCTTCCACATACAAGTCTAGGTCCAAACTGACTGAGGGAGATAGAGTGGCCCTCTTTTATCCCCCAATTCTCCTCCCCCAAGTCAATTAACACAAACTATGGGTTTTCACCTCTAAAACCCAAGTTAACCATTACAACAAAAATACAGAAAAATACATTATACCACATGGCCATGTCTCTGTGCCTGTAGCCGAACCAGGGAAAACAATATTTGGTGAAAAACATTCTCACATATTTCTTGAAGTTGTTGTGTAAACATTGGTAGCCTATCTTTTGTGATGTTAAGTAGGGTGATCAAATGTCCATTTTTCCCCGGTTATGTCCATATTTTGTGCCCTGTCCTGGGCGTTTTTTTTTTTTTTTTTTTTTAAGTGAAAGTTTTTTAAAGTTTCATTGGGGGCATTAAACTAAGCATTTCTCGTAGCTCTATGTGCATCAGAAGGAGCGAGTAGACACAAACTGTCTGACTGTCTGCAACATGCCGAAACCCAAATGTGCATTTAACAATAACTTAAACAAGAAATTCTCAATTTTTCGGCCCGGTCGGGACAAGTAGGAGGCCATGTGCACAGGTTGCGAAGTGAGAGTACAGTGGTCCCTCGTTTATCGCGGGGGTTACGTTCTAAAAATAATCCGTGATAGGTTAAGTAGTCAACCTTATATTTTACAATTATTATATCTGTTTTAAGGCTGTAAAACCCCTCACCACACACTTAATACACTTTTTCAGAGGTGCATCCCTTTTTGCATCCTTCTTACAACTTATTGCTGCTGTCGTCCTTTTGTTATTTTCCTCCTTCTTTATGTAACGAACTGAAGATTAATTTATTCCATAATGGAGGCCAACAGAGCAGAGTCCTGCACGGGTCCATTTTTGGAGGCCCCCAGTACAACACTGCACCCGCGCAGTACAACACACCGCACCCGCGCAGTACAACACCGCACCCGCGCAGTACAACCGCACCCGCGCAGTACAACACCGCACCGCGCAGTACAACACCGCACCCGCGCAGTACAACACCGCACCCGCGCAGTACAACACCGCACCTGCCCGTTAACCCGAGAACTTTTGCGCTCCCTACGCCATGGACTGAACTAAGACTAAACCAGGACTAACCCAGAACTAACCTAGGACTGATTCCAGGACTGAACGGGAGGACTAATCCAGGACTAAACCAGAACTGAAACAGGAGTCAGTGTCGGGACGGGCTTGGAGGTGACCGCAGGAGAAAGGACCGGCTCAGCTCCGCACCTCACGGAGGTAAACGCTGCAATTGCCCGATCGGCTTTGCGGACAAACTGCTCAGCGTTCTCTCTCTTAAGTCCAAGAGTAGTCCTGGTTTAGACCTGGTTTAGTCCTAACTCACCCGTGTGTAAAAAAAAAACAAAAAAAACATGCAAAATTGACACAAAAAAAGAAAAAGAACAAAAAATCTGAAACGGCGAGACTGCGAAAGGTGAACCTCGATATAGTGAGGGACGACTGCAGCTCAATGTCGAGGCCTCACCTCCCACCCCCGGTAAGGTTTTCAAAAATGGAAATATGATCACCCTAATGTTAAGACATGTTCCAAGTCTTGAACATAGCCTATATATTTGATTTATTACAATATACTGTGCAGATACAGAGTGCACATTAGTAAAATTGCATAATAGTTTCAGTAAGCCACTCATTCAATAGTAAAATATAGAAGTACAGAAAAAGTGGAGTAAGCAAAGCATTTACTGTAAAATAATGCGCAACAAACAAATTCATATAGGGTTACTCATGCTCAAATTTCAGACTTTTGGACCAAAATCAGTTTGCTCAAACAGACACATAGACATAGAATAATTATTGGCTCAGTTCACAGTAGATTTCACCAAACATTCTAGTCAAAATATTTACATACATTACATATTTTAAGAAAAATCTGAACTCATGGAGTCCATGTTTTGACATTGTTTG